CTATTAGGTCCCCTGATATATATATATATATATATATATATTTGAAAATGAATTGCTGTAAGTAGTTAGTTAAATAACAGCACTGACCTTTTGCCAGTAAGTGTTATGCCTTTTTCTTTTATTAGATTTTTTAACCTTGATGCCAATTATCCACTGCAGATACATCGAGTCTTTTCCTTTTTCAGCTGAAGCACTTGATTCCAGTTTCTGCCTTCCCATAGGGAAAGCTAAGGTATGTCCATTCAAATATTCTTCCTGTTTGCTTTCATCATTACTCGTCTTTATACTATTTTGGCTACTTGCTATGACAGATAGAGCTAGAAGGAAAAGATGTAACCAGTACTGCTTTCTCAAAGATGGTTGGTTATGCCCTCAAGGAATTGCCACTCATTGAAAATGCTGCATAAGTTTTGGATTTCCTATCTTCATTTTTTCTTTTTTAAGCTCTTGTGAAACCAACTTGAGTTGGTGGTATTTAGGCAGCTGATATTGTTGCCAAGGAAGGAAGCAGTGGCTGAGGTAACATATATAGATTTTCTGTGGTATCTGATTTTTGAGTTGACTAAAGTATAACTTGTTTCTAAATTGTATAGTTTCTGTTAACCTGATGCAGGTTATAAATCTGCACTCGATCTGCCCCCTTGATTGAGCTACAATTAATGCTTCTGTTAGGAAGACTAGCAGACTGGTAACAGTTGAAGAAGGGTTTCCTCAACATGGCGTTGGTGCTGAGATATGGTGACCACCTTTCTTGAATGATATCTGCCTTTTATGTTAATAATCTCTTCTCCTACCTCTTTTATCTTTTGCATTTTATGTCTTCATTTAATCCTTAGAAGATGCATATATCTACACTCCTCCATTTCCATTTTGTATTTGATCCTTACTTGTATACGTGTTTTCTGCAGCACATCTGTTGTTGAGGAGAGTTTTGACTATCTAGATGCACCAGTTGAGAGGATTGCAGGTGCAGATGTTCCCATGCCACATGCTGCAAATCTTGAGAGGATGGCAGTTCCACAGGTTTGTAAAAACATATTAACTTCAACTTCCTTCTGATGATGCATTTACTGCCATTGAGTGTTGTTGATTAAAGATGTTATATGTATATTGAATCCTTTTAATTCTGAGCTGAGGAGATAGATGTTTACACTGTAAAAGATGTCATTATTTGGAAATTAAAATTGATTTTTGGGTGGCTGGAATGCAATTCCCCTCCAGGTGATATCTAAGGCATTTTAGTTAATCTGAACATGGGTTATTGGTACGACACTCCAGCAAAGTGCATGGTAACCATAGTGTCCATGACATTGAGAAACTTAGACCATAAATTTACCCTGGATATTTAGTAGTTATTCAATTGTATTTTACATTAAACGAGAAAGGATGAGCTGATTGATTAGCATGTTTCAAAGCTTCGCTCAGTGCAATGTTTATTTTCTTTCTAACCAACGGGTGCAGAAGAAGCTTTTCAAACCTTGGGAATGGCCACTTTATGCTAAAAACTGATAGTTTTGTTGAACTGTTTCTCATTCTTTCCTCCTCTTTTCAGTTTACAAACAGTGGGGTTGATAACTGAATTTAAACATGACCACTATTGGCTTCAATAATAATGACCTGTCTCTGCTGCTTGATGTTTCTATTTCCTTTTCCATGATTGAGGCTGTGTTAAAACTATTCATCTCCCATAGCATGTATTTTGCAGGTTGATGATATTGCTTGTGCAGCAAAAAGGACTTCTTCTGGATCTAGTTAACCTGCTTTGACTGCCTTGCAAAAGTGTTAGACTGTTTGGTACCAGGAGTTGTGAGCGTTAGCTTATCTTCTTGCGTTTCAAGGTTCTTTTGCTGAAACGTTCAACTGGCTGCTGGGTTAGCACATCATTCATTATCATTAAACAACTCTTATTGGAAAAAATAAATATTTTTACACAATTTTTTAAAAATCTAACATGGAGAGAATGACTGTAAATTTAGTGACCTTGATATTGTGGAATGCAGGAAAAAGGCGTCATTACTCAGTATTCAACATTTTGCTGGGCTCTTTTGGTGATTCTAAACAAGGTTGTGCCATATCTCCATGGCAAAATTTTCTGATGAGGATAATAAAAATCAGGTCAGCGGTTTTGCAAGCTTTGGTCAAATTTGTCCCTTAGTTAGCCTAGCCTAGGTGTGTGATTAAGAACCACGAATGGAGGAGAGGGGCAAAATTGAACAAATTGAGCAAAAATGTATTGTTTCCTCAAAATTCCTCACGTGGCTTCGCAAGTGTGAAATTTGAATACAAACGTGCCATTTACTTTTTTGAAAAGCAAGAAAAAAAAAAAAAGATTTTTCCACAACCCTCTCCTTCCACGTGATCAACCTACGTTAAGATAGCTGGAAGAACGTTAGTTTAAAACTGAGTTTTGCGCCCTTCAGATAATTTGCAAGAGAGAGGGATGCCTTCCTGTAGAATGGGTTGTTAATTTGTCTTAGACAATCTCAAGAACTTTACTACTATCGTAAATCTAAGTTAATAGATCCAAAATGAACTGAATGAGATGCAAATTAAAATAAATGTTTATTGCATAAAAGGAAATCAGAGAAGTAAATATACGAACTAATTTGGGTACTTGAATGTTGAAAACAATCTAAATCTAATGAGACTTATGCTAAAACTAAAATCTGAAAGCTAAAGTGAGTAATCTATACGATACTAAAGAATTGAAAAATTGATGAGTTTTTCTGTAAGACTGGTCGTGTCTTGAAAAAATTAAAAAAACTTTTATTTATATGCTTCCTACAAACTATCTCTTGCTGATTAGATCAAGGATAATTTCCTCTCAAATTCTAAGGATTTCTGTTCCTTTTAAATCTAAGTTACAACAAACTAGATAATTTTTATCCTCCCAACCAATTTTACATATACGCATCCTTTAATGGATTCAATTTCTCCTTATCCATTGACATGTGGCATCACTTAAAAAATGCAATTTATGGTGTAAATAGGTATAGAGATAAAATAACTAATGGTGTGTTTGGGATTGCGGTTGAGAGTTTTTTCGAGTAGCCATACAACACTTTTAGATATATGTGTTTGATAATATTTTTTCAAAATGCTTTTTTTAAAAAC